AACATATCCCAACAATGCCTGAGATTTCGACATGATATTTCCAAAGCAGGATGATATGAGTCCTCTGCAGAACAAGAGGATTATCGAATAACGGAACACTTTGCAGAGGTATCAACGTATACCAAATCTAAGGCATTTACCAAATTTATCTGAAATCAAATTAATTTGGTCTAATCCAACTCGACATTTTTCGAAAACTCATTAAAACACATGACCGATTAAAATCGGCACGATATAGCTACCGAAAGGTTTCAAATGAAGCACACGGTAAATTGATCACTAATAGAATTATTGAATCTGCATTATTTGCCATCGAGGTAGCACTATTTATTAAAGAAGCATGCTGCATGTATACAGATAAGTCCAGGTGGTATATAAGATAGGTTAAATAAATAGCAACTATTAACGTATACTCCAATACATTTAAATTCAAATGAGTCGGTCCCTGAACAAGAATAACATTAGATGGGATAGAGGAATGCACGGCAACAGAACACCTAATCGATTCTGTTCAGTCGATCACATCTAAAATTTGAAATTCGCTGTTTAAAATCTCATTATCAAAATGTGAGGTTTTAACCGTTTGTAACCAATTATATGGAAATTAAAATTGAACTGTTCAAATACAAGTCAGTTAATTCTGGTTAAGACCTCTAACATTTTGATAATAAATGCTTAGCGAAATTTACCAATCAGTTTTATCGGTGGTTGCTTTTGGTAATTTAACACTGTTTTCCCAGTTTGACTCTAAGTTTAGGTTTAAATTCGCGTACAAAAGTCCCAGGCCAGAATGAACTATCTAAGATCTTTTGAATGTTTCAAGAGATACGTCTATTTTAAATGATGATATACTTCATCATAATTGAAGTTAAATTTACGTATATTGATATCATCGATTTAAACGTGACGAAATGTAAGATTTAATGTCTCCACCAACCGGTATCTTTGGCAAGTCTCAAAATAAATATAGACTTTAGGGAATAACTATCAAGTTATTGAACCTGATGCTACCCAAAGTTAATAGGGGCGAGCCTCTGGAATTGTGCAGACACTTATTAACTATTTTAGATAGAGCTTTTGGGAATGAGCTCTTTGAAGTTCGGATTGTATCATCACCTTGAAGGGCAAAGGAGCAAGAGAGATTTATTAGGTCATTGGGTAGAGACGTTCTTTTCTGAACAGAAGAACAAGTGTTACTTCATCGGAAGGACGTTTTACGCCTAGGAGGCAGGTTAGAGGATTCGTGAGAACTCATTCGCGGCACTTAAAAGATTGAAAAATATTTCATAGTTGCCTAAATTTTTCAGTGGAGGGTCTACAAGATCGCGGACCGATTTCTGTTAAAGCTATTGGCGTGTCTCCTATAACTAAAATAGATCGATCTAATAGATTCACAATTTAAACAGGACCAACGCCAATCCCTACAGTATCGATGAATAGAATCTAAGATCTACCGTGTCAGTCCAGCACAGTTAATATGCAAGGCTCCATCACAAAGCCAGTATGACGAAACGTAGCGATCTGATCCACTTTAATGTTTACAATTGGGGGAAGTTAGTACACATAATAAACCACAAGAATGAAGATCAAATAAAAGAGTAGGTAGAACAAAATTTAATAGATAAATAATAAATTAGTGTGTTAATAAAATATTAATAATAATAAATTCAATTAAGAAAAATTTTTTTTTTTTTATCAAAGTTTAAAACCAAGACAATTTGAAGAAGCAATATAGCGAGCAGTTTTAGAAGCACAAATAAAAAGCTAAACGCAACACAGCTGTGAATAAAGAAGTAAATAAGATAAACAAAGTGAGAAAATAGAATAAAATAAAACAAAATGAAAGAAAGGCTGACTCGGCCCCAAAAATTGGAAAGTTTAAACTTTTTAATACCGCACAAAACAGAACATTTAATACTTATCATGAAACTGAGAGTTTAATCACTAAAAATTTGTATTAACACGGCAATAAAAATCAGTTAAACTTCAAGAATTTTTTAAAATAAAAACACAAATGTACACAGCTAAAAAATTACAGCTTAAGAGCTTGAAGTGTTGCCACCTTTCGACTTTATGTAACAATTCATCTCAAATTGCGAGAAGATAACTTGTTTAATAAAAAAGTTGTTTATACAAGTACTTGATTCCGATCGCTCAGTTTGTATGGCAGCTATATGATATAGTGGTTCCGATATCGCCGATTTCGAAAAATTAGCAGCTTCTTGAAGGGACTAGTTAACGTAAATATAGGCAGACGACATACGGACAAGACTAAATCAACTCAGCTCGTCACACTTCATTTATCATTTAAAACGGGTGATCCAAGTGGAGTTACTTTTTCAATAGCCTTTTTTTAGCAGATAACGCCTGAATCGAGTCAAGCTGTCATGTTGTTTTTGTTCAGGACTGCTTGACATTTCATCATAGGAGGACAACATTAACAAATTGTTCAACTTTATTACGAAAATTCACGATCTGTACAGAATGTGTTTCGCGCGCTTCGCTCAACTTATAGTCAATATAATCGACCTACTAAGCGTACTAGTCACAACACCGTCAGCCATCTTAAGACCCAGCATTCATTATTAAATAATATTCGACAAGAAAAAACCACGTCCAACACGCAGGGAAGAAATTATAGCGGCCGTAGCTGAAAGTGTACACGAAGACCGCCGTTCGCAGCAACTCGGACTGACATATGGAACGACTTGGTGCATTTTATGTCGATATCTTAAATTGCAAGTGTACAAAATACAGCTTGTGCAAGACGCTAGACGTTCCCAAGCGACATAGCTTCGCACTATGAGCTCTTGAAAAATTCTAAGAAAAAACCACGGTTTGGTGTGGTTTGTGATCCAGTGGAGTCATCGGTCCATATTTCTTCAAAAATGATGACGGTGAGAACGTAACCGTCAATGTCGACCGTTACGCGCTATGATAATCGACTATTTGATGCGTGTGAGCAGATAATTTCACGTTTTGGTCGGCCGATTGGCCTCCAAGATTGTGTGACTTTTTCCTGTGGGGATATGTAAAGTCTAAAGTCTATGTGGTCAATTTTGCTTCAATTCAGGTCTTGGAACAAAAGTTACATATTATAAATAACTCACACTATATATATTGTAACGTTAACGTAACTTGTCTTTAGTACATAACTTTTCGCTCTCATTTATGATCTTCTTTACTTCTTCTTTACTTTACCGTTGCATAATTTAATTTGTCCATCAATTCATTCTTGTGTTGGACATATTATATAAGCAAAAAGTTCCATGTTATATATTTAAACAAGTGTACATATTTTGATAATATATATATATATATATAAGAACAGTAAAATTGTATGTTATTATTCTTAAATACAAGTATATTTGCCAATAGTATAGGTACCAATCGAAATGCTCGAACGAGTCATCGAAAGTTGGACTCAACGGATGGACCATCTGAGACGTAGCCGTGGCCAATATTTTAAAGAGATAATCTTCAAAAGATAAATGCCAAAGAATGTTCTTTCAGATGATAATAATTCCCATTAAATTTTAACTTTTTGTATTTTTTTTAAAGTAGGAAACCTCGAATTGGATCACCCTATATAATGTATATATGTATATTGTATATACATACATATATATATAACAAACTTCGTGGCAAGCTTAATATACCCAGGCTTAATATATTCAGGGTATAAAAATAGGTCAGTTTATGGGAATTGCCACCAGTGTATGTGTAGAGGAGAAGTAACACAAATTTGAGTGTCTCGTATAAGTTTACCTTTCCTTGTCATTTTCAGGATTATACTTTTTTATTTTTTATTGTATTATCCACTGTATTGATATTATAACACATTCCTTGTTTTTTGCAGATTTGTCAACATTGTTATAGCAGTCTATGGAGCTTTTGCCGAAATTTTTGATCACACAAATATATCGCAAGATTCGTATAAGGAATTTGGTTTGGTTGTTGATGGGTTATATTGTTCAATTCTTCTATTTATTTTTTGTGACTGTTCCCATAATGCTACGCTATGTGTAGCTAAGGGCATTCAAAATGTGTTGCTTAAAATCGATGTTCGACAGATTAATACAAAAGCAAAGAGTGAAATTGATCTGTTTATATTTGCAATAGAAATGAATCCAGCAATTGTAAGTTTAAAGGGCTATGTCAACGTTAATCGCGAGCTTCTAACTTCGGTAAGAAAACATCCTTTTAAGAAAACTTCGTCACTTTATATGTAAATGAAATTAAAATTGTTAAAGGTTTAATAGTAAAAAATATTCGACCACTAAATCCCATATATGTACATATAATACAATTTTACCGCACATTTAATGTCTTAATAACTACCATTTGTGTTTACTTATCTATGTCACGGAGAATACATTATTCTTTACCTGATCAATAGGAAATTAATTGGTTGACAGAATTAAATTATAATTTGTTGCAACAGTAAATCTATAACAGTTTTCTTCTTTACTTTTTAAAAACCAATACGAAAAAACCTAAAATGCAATTAAATATAGAGAACAATTAGTCTGCCCAGTAAGTAAAACCTACTAAATTAAATGAGACATCAATTGGACGGTTAGTTTAATGGGTGACAAAATCATATTTCTGATTCATTAGTTAATTAAAGGTTCAGCGCTATAAAAACATACCTATGTATATACTTTCCAATGCTGTTCGCAATTGGGTGGGTGAAGTATACATAAGTATGTTGATATATGTATATGCAATTGGTCCCTAAATTACTATAATGTCTTTTGTTGTTATATAATAAAATGAGTGAAAATACCTTTTCCATCATTCTTTAGTTTAACATAATACCAAAGGTATCAATCCAGACCAATGTATACAATATTGTGCCTTTCCGCTTGACTTCATCATTCCAGAGGACGCGAGTTCGATCCCCTCTCGAAACAGTTTAGTTTAGTCCTCCCTTTTATTAAAATCATATTTGGACCTTATTAACTTGCATTATAGCTGATAGACTCACTTTGTTTCATAACTAGGTACACTTGGCTTCGTGTCCGAGATACGAGGTTTTTGATTTTTCCAATTTGGCTTTGGACATTGCTACCAAATTTCATATGTACAACAATAGTCAACTAACAGAATATACCAGCCAAAATTTAGTTACGAATTCTGTCCATTTTTGTAAATTTGTCATTTAAACGATAAACTCATGAACAAAGTTTCGAGCATGTGGTGATTAACTTTGGTACTTACGATAGGAGATTAAATGCGAATAGAACGTTGATTTTTACTTATAAAAGAAAGATATTTATTGGATTTTGGTTTTATATAGCAATTTCTGTTATTTCATAAAATGAATTAGTACTGATAAGTATTATTCTTTATTGGATTCATTTAAAACTTTTATGTGCTTTGAATGTTTTAAATTTAGGTTAGGTTAGGTTAGGTTAGGTTAGCGGGTCGATCCTAAGAAGGATCACACTTGGACAGCTTAAACGCCGGTCCGTTGTGGTACCCAAAACTCCTATGAGCCGGATCAATAGACCCTTACATGTCGACAAAGCGCTTTGTGCCTATGACAAACTTGTTGAGATGGCCAATATCTGTTTCGGCCAGATCTTCTGGACCGCAAAAGTATGATTGCCGAGATGTTTCAACTCAACCTAGCAAAAGCCGGACAATGGAGGAGAAAGTGCAGGATGTTTTCCACTTCACCTCCTCCATACAGCTTTGACAACTGCCTTCGGGTAGTATTTCTTAAGCCCACCGCATGAGTTCCCATTGGACAGTGCCCAGTGAGAACTCCTACCATGGCGGCGAGGTGAACTTTGTTCAAGGCGAGAAGATCCCCCGACCTCCTGCCGGTCGCCGACCAGCGTCTGCTGAGCTCCTGCGAGGTCCATTGGTCCAGAGCGAGAATGCAAGACGTTAGTGGAGAACCAACTCGATCCCATTCCGATGTGAGCGGGGCAAGGGTACTAGCTTTGAATGCAGGATGAGCCCTAGGTATTTCACCTTATCAACAGGTTGAAGACGTGAACCCCCGAAGGAGGGGAGAGGCACATTTGGGACTTATACCTTTTAGTGAAATAAAACCATTTCGGTTTTACGGGTTGACGGCTAGGCCGCTTCTGTTTGCCCAGTTTGATACCACGTTTAGGTACCCTTCGGTGAGCTCATAGACGGTATTCAGGAATTTACCTTTAACGATAAGAACAATCATCAGCATAGGCTATCACTCGACAGCCTTGCTCCTCGAGTTCATATAAGTAGTCGTTTACAACCCAAGATCCAGAGCAGAGGGGAGAGTACTCCTCCTTGCGGAGTTCCCTATTTACCTTTCTGGTTGACTTAGCACTACCCACTCCGCTACGACAGTTCTGTCGCAGTGAAGACTGAAAATGAGGTGTTGAGGTTCGATTCCCTTCAAACTTTTCGAGGGCTCTAACCACCTGCCTCTGGCCGAACGTTATTGAAGGCCCCTCGATGTCGAGAAAGGTGCCCACTGCAAATTCCTTTGCAAAGCGCTGTCCTCCAGCCATGAGACCTACGTCGTGCAAGGCAGTGTCGACGACCTGCCCTTGATGAGGCATGCTGCGCTCGGTAACAGTTTACCCCTCGGTATTCTGCACCTGATGTACAGATCATAAGTCTCCTCCAGCGTTTTAACAAAAACGACGATAGGCTGATGAGTCTGAAATCTTGCACCGACATGAGAGCTTTAACCGGCCTTCGGATGAACGCAACCTTAACCTGTCTCCAGGCCTTCGGGACATGGCCCAATCTAACACAGTTCGCGTAGATAGGGCCAGCCAGCTGCATGAACACCTTAAACCGTTCTCTGTAGTTGCGCCGGTATGATGCCATCAGGATCCGGGGACTTGAAGGGCTTAAAGATTTCAGCGCCCAGGTAAGATGACGCTCATTCCAGAAGGTCCAAGAAGGCTGTACAGCCTTCCTGAAGCTCCCCAGTGGCATCTTCAGCAAAGCGATTTCGTGGAAATGAGCATCTAGGAGTAACCTCAGCGACTCCATGTACTCGTAGTCCACCCGCTATCTGCATTTCTTAGATACCCCACCGGAGTAGGATTTTTCGCAAGAATGTGTCTAAAAACCTTGAGGACTCGTGACAACCTTCTACACTATCGCAAAAGCTTTCCACGAAGCCCTCTTGGCTTTCTTCAAGTCGGACTTGTAAATGGCAATCCGGCCTTGTACAACCGCCAGTCGTCGCTAGAGCCACTTTTACGGGCTTTATTGAAGAGTCGTTCTACTCGAAGAATCTGATCTCCGTTAGCTCCGAAGTCCCACCAAGGGGGTTTCCCTCTACATTTCTGAGTTTTCAGAGGACAGGAGCTCAAGAGAGATCTGTGACAGAAGCTGAAAACCTCGACGAGCTCCTCAATCGCGTCCGCAGATAGGATGAATCCTGTCAGGCGCGGTTTGGGAGAGCTGATCGAAGCTTCCTGCAATACAGGACCCAATTGGTATTCCTGAGTTTCTGTAGGTCTATGCTTCGGCGCGAGGCGTCCAAGCTAAACCCAATTTATATGATCAGAAAAGGAGTGGTCGCTAGAGCTCTCCATTTCGAGATCAAGGAGCAATTTCCTAGAGGCTAGGCGTGACATCAGGACTTCTGCCGCTGGCTGTCACAGAAGTAGGCAGTTTCCCTATTACAGATAAAAGGTCTACATCACAATAAAATCAAAAAGTGACTCACCTCTTGCTTTTGTGTCCGAGCTCCGCAGACGGTGTGCCTGAGTTGGCATCCGAGCCTATACTAACCGCGTGTCCTTTGCGTCTGGCCTCTGCCAGAGCCATCCTCAGCAAGTTCGAGGTGGTTCCACCTCGTCGTGTGCGGCATGTAGGCTGAGACAAGCCAGATTTTCCCTAGCACTGTCCTCCAGCCTAGCGTGACGACGTCCTCGTTGCTGAAATAGGTAAAGAAAACGTTAAGTTCATTTCTGACCAACAGGCAGGCTCTGGTTCTACCTGTGCTGCTTGCCGCCAGGAGCTTTTGGCTATTTGTCCTTAGTTCCAGATATCCATAGCTACTCAGCCACGGTTCCTGGGTTAAGGACAACGTGGCTTCGTCCTTCTTCCTAGACGAAGCACTTAAATCGCGGAGGCCGCCTTTGAGTGAGGTCTTCATCCTCCAAACTCCTCTCCAGCAGTGCGAGTTCCGCACCATCGTCCATATCGTCGACGCCAGCCTCCTGGAACAGATGCTCGAGACTGAGACGGATCCGCCCCCCGTGCTCACCGCGTCCGAGAGGACAGGGTCGACGTCCCATTTTTCGAGAGAGGACCCTCCCACTCTCTTCCACCCCGCAGGAGGCAGCGGGCCATCCGCCCTGGCTTCTGTTGGGAGCGTCTTGAGAACGACTCTCTCGAAGCCATGAGCTTATGGCCCCTTTGTGACACTGAGAGGAGCGGAGGGACTCCTTGTTCAGGAGTAACAGCGCTTGCCGATATGGTGCCTCGGTCCTCTCAGCCTGATCACCCTCCAGTCTTGGGTGGGGAGAAATGGGTTGCAGTACCGCAACATCTCTTCAATTTCGGCCGGGGTGGAAGGTTCGGCGCGAAGCCAGACCCGAGCCCGAGGCCGCATCGGGAAGATCCGATTTGGCCACCGCTCGAGCCTTGCTCCTTTCCACACCTCCCTACCCTGGCTACCGCCTCCTTGTAAAGGAGAGCCGACCGCTCGTCGGCACCTCAATGAGTTTGTGAATGCCGAGGTTCACCCAGCGCTTTCACATCTAGGGGGGTGGTCCAGGGCTCCCTGACCACCTTCATGAAAACAGCGGAGATAGCAGCCGTACACCTTCCACTCGTCATGGGAGATGGCCTCCATCCTCTCTGCTTCGGTCGTACACCCCAAGCTCCACTGAGCTTGCGATTTCGCTAAACATAGGTGCGGGTCCGACCCGAGGCTTTTTGCCGAGGGAGGATTCCCCCTCTTGCGATCTTTGCCGCTTTATTGAGGTTTGGGGCCCGCTCGGCCCCACTTTACCGGCGCCCACGTCGCTCAGCACCTTTTTGGCCCACTCCAGTGTGCTAGCATGCTGGTCAGCCTGCTTGTCACCGTAGCGCTCCAAAATCTTGGCAGCCAGTCGACGATCAGACTTCAGCTTTTTAGCTGCAGTCACTCGCTTCCCCGCCGGGCCCTTAGCGCTCGCCGAGGACCCCGTGGCCCCCATGAACTTAGCAGAGGTTCCTCTGCTAGTGCTGCCGATTCCGCCTCGCACTTCCGCCCTACCCCGGGTTGCTGTCGGCAGACTCCCCCTACCTTACCGCCCCCCGTGACGGTAAGCCAGGCACCCCCTGGATTACCTTTCTCACCTTTAGCCGGGGACGATTTCGTCCCCTTCGGTGAAAGTGTCCCCCCCAGGGAACCGTCCACTACAGCGGAGGTCGGTTTCGACCCGCTTCCTCCCTCGTCGTTAGTGTTTATCCCCACTCAGAGCCGCTATCCGTCTCCCGGAATGGTAGTCGCCTTTTATGGTCCCAAGGTTGTCTCAGTTACGAGGCCAAGGCGAGGGTTGACGCACGCCCTTATGGGGCAATGCGTTCAGAGCCGACCATCGCAAAGAAGGAGTCATCTCAACAAACACCTACCACACCAACTTAATGATGACGGGAGGGGAACGTACTCCGAGGCCTGCCATGGTTTTAACGGGACGGAGGCGACCTTGGCATTAGCCCATCAGCCATTTCAGCAGGGTATCACCCCTGCATACTCAGGTGACAGAATACCAAGACCACCAGCCCAGGGTTCAACCGAATCCATCTAATTGTCAAAGCTATGTCCAGGTCAAGCAAAGGTCAGATCAGGAGTTTCAAGGCCGTAAAGGCCGCAGGTCATTTGGCGTTACCCAGGATGCACCACGCGGAGGCGAACCTGCTCTACATAAATTTAGGTACTCCACATGATATTTATTTGGGATACTTTTATGATGCAAATATTTTTTTGGTCATTACATTTTTAGTTGAAATGCATAAATTGCTTTTATCTAATATTTCAGCACTATAATTAAATATAAATTCTTTTATAGTTTGAATGTTAAAACTATTAAAATTTCCATGTTTTAGAAAAATTATTGTTGTAGTTTTTGAAGTAAAACTTCTTTACGCTCTTGGAGAGTAAACTGATAAATGCGTAACGAAAAGTGTGATCGGGCGAGGCGAACGGAAGTTGAAAGGGAGATATAACTTAGTGAAGATGAAAAGAGAGAGGGTTAGAAACGACAAACGGCAAGCAACAAAAACTTAATTTAAACCTAGTGAGATCCAATCAACCAATAATGAATCACGAATGTGAGTTCGTATCTTATACTAATTGCATTAATTCAAATTTTATTAAAAGGATTTTTATTTAACTGAATAAAATTTTAGTTAACTAAAATTATCAAATTAGCAGTCCAGTACTTGGACCTTCGGAAATTATGCGGAAGCAACACGGCGATGAAGAGAGAAAATAAAACGTTGATAAATCATCAATAAAAAATCTGGAGTTCAACGCGTACGAGAATATCTGGAGCGAAACAAATTGTAAATTTATTTATAAAACTTATGCAATTGAAGGCTCGTAACATTAATATTTGCATTTTGTTAGTTAGAGCAAAGAAAATACTGTTGGAGCATATCCATATATCTAACTAGAAGAGGGAAATCACAATCACAGCAACAAATTGAAACGCCAGAACGCTTGCGAGAATATCTTGAGAGAAGAAATGATAATCTCAACACCGAATCGTATATAAGTTTTGTTGTTGATAAAAAAGTTTTAGATTCATATTTTAAGTTTTCTGTTAATAGTAATAATCCGTCGGGAAATAATGAAGAACAATCAGACCTCCGTTTCAACTTTGACTTATTGGTATTGGTAGTTACCGTACGAAATTGCTTTCGTTGTGTACAAATTGATGTATCTGATGGCTTTTCAAACGGTGCAGTTTGTAAATTAGTACATATTGAACTAAATGAAGTTAAGTAAGTGTGGTAAACTTTTGCGAATTCATGAAAAGTTGGTGAAAAACTTCCACGAAAAGCTGCCGGTTACGTTGCGACACAAAATATTGATAAAAATTCCGTCCCAATGGATGCAGAACATCTACCATTGCCATGAATGATAAAATGACAATTCATAAATCACAAGGCACAACATAATTATTTGATAAATATCAAAGGAGTCATTCTCTACGATTACTATATGTTGCTCTATCAGAAGTTACCAGTATTGAAGGACTGTACATAGTGCCTAAAGACATTGATGATAAATTTGATCATGGTCGAAAAAATTATACATCGATCATATTTGTACAAAATGAATTTCGTCAATTATCGTTGAACACATTGTCAACAATAGGAAGAATGATTATTGATTTCATGAATGACAGAAAGAAGTTGTCCATGGTTATTTACTGCCAAAGTCTCAGTAAACACTTGTCAGGCTTAAGCGATTCCGTAATTGCTTCAAGTAATATTTTATGTCTCTCAGATTCCTGATCAAATGACGATGCAAATGTTGACATCCCGAATTTTGATTGTATTGCGAAACTAAAGCGTAACAATATTAGATCAGCAGGAGTGGCAACTTATCAGATATCAAACGATACATCGAATATAGTAACTTCGAGCATGGACATTTATTACGATATATTCGTGAAGTCGATGTTGGTCAATCATCAATTGATGATATATGTGCTGTTCACTGTGTTTTGGACGATGGAACAATCATCTTAATGGTAGTTTTTTACATTTTGGCAAATAACACAGTTAATAATATTATTAAGTTTTATAAAAAAGGCTTATGATTTACGGTCAAGTAGGCTCTCAAGAATTAAGAGAAAACTATCATACGTTGCTACTAATTTTAGCAGGAAATTTCAAATTTCGCGGCAGAAGATAGACAACTCTTGCTAAACTTTCTAAAAGATAAATTATAACTACAAATGAACAATAACCGAAATGAGCCTTCCACAAGACATGGAATAACAATCGATGCAGTTTTCTCAAGATATCTTTATAATTTTCATTCGAAAATATATGTATCTTATTTGTTATACTATAAGCCTGTTGTCTCGATCTTACAATCAACCACAGTAATTACTGATGTATCCGAAAATAAAAGTAATGAATAAAAAGAAATAATTATTATAATCAATTATAATATATTAATTTATCATTAAAAACCCAGAATAAATGAAAACATATGTCTATGTATGTATCGGGTTTTCCAATAGGGATGGTATGATTTCTTAGTATCGCTTTTTAATAAAATATGTCATGATCAGTAATTTTCATTATGGAAAGATATACGCAAGAACTACGTTTACAAATTATTAAATTTTATTATCAAAATAATTGTTCTCCAATTGCAATTTTTCGTACGCTTTTGCCATTTTATGATCGTCTGAGTGATGCGGTAAAAAAACAAAACTGTCGATTTTTATGCAAAGAAAATTCACAAATTATTCATGAACAACCATTTCATTCACCTACATTGACAGTTGGGTGTGGTTTTTGGTCTGGTGGGATCATCGGTCCGTACTTTTTTCAAAATGAAGCTGATGACACCGTTACTGTCAATGGAGAGCGGTATAGATCGATGATAACCAACTTTTTATGGCAGCAATTGGAAGAAGTTGATATTGACAACATATGGTCCAACAAGACGGAGCTACGTACCTCACAGCATTTATAGAAATTGCGACATTGCATGGCCTCCAAGAAGGTGTGATTTAACATCATTAGACTACTTGTTGTGGGGTATTTGAAGCCATTGGTCTTTAGCAATAAACTAGATTCTCTTCAAGCTATAGAAGTCAATATTCAACGTACTATTCATGACATACAACTTGATTTTGTAGAAAAAGTAACAGGTCACTGAATACAAATTGCATAATTAAAAGAATTATGCATTAAATTAAATCTTATATATTTAACGAAATTGTTAACTTGCTGCCCGGGTTAATATCGTTTTCACGATATGAGTTTAAAAATATATTTTTTTGCCACGCCGCAATGCGTGCACTTTATTGATATTCTTAAGACTAACTAGTTTACATAAATCTTAGTGCTATTTATACTATTGAGCTGTATCGATAGTTATCTGTTTACTAACAGATAAAACTATTAGTTTCTATTGTTATATTTGGGTTGTTATTCATAGTGCATTTCTATTGTTATATGCTCTTATCTCTAGTATTTATATTTTACAATGTGTGTTAGCTGATAAATATGTTTACATATGCTTATTTTGATTTTGTGTATTTATGTCTAATAAGTGATATGTTATATTTATGTACATATGTATATGTCGATGTGTATGTGAAGTGTAGAGATCACATATTGTATGCAGATATGTATGCGGTGTGAGGCTATGTCGTTAACTCCCCTCCCTCTTAAAACGGAACGTCCTCGCTACGTTGCTGCTACGAGGTGCTGTTGAGGACGGTTCATTTCGATTTCGTATAACTCGTCAATTTGCCTTTGTCTGTTAAGTGCTTTTCTATTTTCGTGGTATCGGCAGAGATTTACAATACCATAAGTAATGACTACTAAAGTAAGGAATCCCATTATAATAACGAACGTCAGCTGTACTGGGTTTTCTTCAATAGGTATCAAAAATGTTGAGAGTTTTTGGATATTACTGAATTTGTAGATTGAATTTGAGGAAAGGATACGGAGTACTTCAAATTTTTCGCTGTGTTGATTGTGTATTATTTCTCTGAGTTGTCCTTGATGATTGTAGTACGTGATATTATCGATGTTTGTGGATTCGTTATAATGTATCAATTTAGAGCCTGATATATTAGGTCAAGTAAAAAGTTCCTTCGGTTTTTATCTAAGAGATGGCGTTATTATCCATAGTACTAGTGTTACGTGTCGCATCATGTCACACTATACGGCGCTGAAAACGTGTATATTCGCGATAAAAGTTTGTCTTTGACAGTTTTTCGATTGATTTACTCAGTTCGTTGTGAGCGCTCGTCAAAGATGGACACCAGCAAAGAGAAAATTCGCCATATTTTACAATTTTTCTTCGATCAAGGCGAAAAAGCAGCCAAAGCGACTGAAAAAATTAATTAAGTTTGTGGACCCGATACTGTAAACGAACGTGTAGCACAAAAGTGATTTGCTAGGTTCCGTTCCGGTAATTTCGATGTCAAATATGCACCACACGTCGGGAGGCCTGTCGTCGAAAATTGCGATAAAATCATGAAAATAGTGGAAACAGACCGTCACATGAGCACTTATTTAATTGCTGAAGAACAAAAGATAAGCCAGAAAACCGTTTGGAACCATTTGCATAACCTAACCAGAAGATGCCATCTTTGCTCAACAGAGGTCGAATTGTGTTCCATCAGGACAACGCCAGGTCACACACGTCTTTGGTGACGCGCCAGAAGCTGTGGGAGCTCGGACGGAAGATCCTAATGCACCCACCTTATAGTCCGGACCTGGCACCAATTGATTACCATCTTTTCCTGTCCATGACGAGCGCGCTTAATGGTGAGAAGTTAGCCTCAACAGAGGCCTGTGAAAATTGGCTCTCCGAGTTTTTTGCCAATAGGGACACAGCCTTCTACGAGAGGGGTATAATGAAGTTGGCATCTCGTTGGCAACAAGTTTACGAACAAAACGGCGCATATTTGACTTAAATCGGACAAATGTACACAAAGTTATCATCTTTTGAAAAATCAATAAAAAACAGAACGAACTTTTTACTTTACCTAATATTTAACTCCATATCAATGTTAGGTGAACAAAACTATTATACTTAGTTGCAACATGTCGCAAGAATATAACGAGAAAATAATTAATTTAAAAAGTATTTGTTAATAATAATTAATTTTATAAATAATATTACACCTAAAAATTTAAATTTATTTTTAAGCTATTGAAAAAGCACCACCAGATTGGCCATATCTCGCACTGCACAGTGGATCTGCTTGAGCCGCGGCCATAAGTGCTTTTAGATGAGATATCGTTTCAAAATTTTCACCAAATATCTATAAAAATATGATAAATATATTTAAAAAAATTGGGCACATCTAACGATTATATCCTATAGCTCCCATAGTAACAGTGAGTAAGGGATCGATTAAACTGGGCGTAGTTTTACTAATAATAATACATTACAAAAGTAAAATACACACTTTAAAGAATATTCGCATTGGTTGGTGGTACTCAAAAATTTTGTGATAAGAGAAAACCAAACCAAGAACAACATTTAAATATTATAATCAGAAAACGAACAAAAATTTTATAATTTTCATATTGTCTCATCAAGTAAGTCTATAGTTGACTTAAGTAGCAAGTCATAAGAAAGTTTTCGTTGCCCAGTGATAAAGGGATAAGAGCTTAAAAGCAATCTGTTCATTAAATCAGTATTTGAAGCCACGCGTGAAAATTTTCGTGTATGTTGTAATCGGAACTTTTTCATATCTTTAATCCTTGTCTGCCAGCATCTTCAGAAAGTTCTCCAATCGGAACCAAGGAGTAAAATTTTATGCACCGATAGAAGTAATTAAAACCAGGGATATTTTCCAATCAGCTGCATTGTGGTCTCAAGAGCATAGTCTCCAAATTTCGCTGAATTAATCTTATAACCTTTGTGTAAACATATTAGAAGCGCACATAAAATGGATAAAATACAGGGTAAACTAAAGAATCGATTTAAGAATAACTACCAACATAAATTAGTTTTTGTTAACTTTGTAAGATAAAATAAACTTAAAAATCCATTAAAAAGAATTTACATTCGTAAACGTAAAAAATGGCCTAACCACTTTGAACTTCCCTTTTGTTGTGATACAAGTGTAGGGCTACAAAGCTTTTTTTGTAGCCGCGCAAATATCGAAAAAGCGAAATATTTAAGCGAAGTTGTAACAGCGATAAAATACAAAGGGCGAGTGATGATGCTATGTGTGGTCAGTTATTAGACTAACTTTATTTGCAAAATTCTTCTCCTTAAATAATATTCTAAGCAATATTGCAATACCGTTCAATACATAATTTCCGCTAAGTACATAGTTTCGTTTTCTATTAACGCATATATACATAAGTATGTAAGTTTGTGCGAGTACTGGCGCAAAGCGGAAAATAATAAAATTGAATTGGAAATAAAAAAAATAAATAAAAAAGTTTAAATAAAGAAATTAATTTAAAATACAATACAATAAAGCAAGCTTTTCGTAATCACTGGTGATTCATACTCAAAAACAAACGACGATGGCCAAGATGGGCGCGTCGGGCAAAAAGCCTCCAGATCGGCCCGCGGTAAAATTTTATAAGTGCCATGATGACACTAAGTTTGAATCGGTGGTTTGTGTTATCTGTGAATCAGTGTATCGTTATAATTACTTTGTGAGAAGAAAATACGGAATTCTTATAAGTGACTGTCTAGGAGTTTGCACGGAACATAAAGAGGTAGACCTAACCTCAATTGATGAGCACGTGTTAATACAAGAAGCAAGAAATATAACAGCACAAATAAAGTACCAAGCACAAATTGAAATTCTGAAAAGAGAACATTTTTATGTAAAAAATATAAAAAGTCTTGAAAAGAAAATAAATGAACAAGAAGATATAAGTAAAGAAAGAGAGACAGATGTAAATGAACAGCAACAGCAGTTAACACTTCTGGAACAACAAGTAACTTTAAATAATAAATTAAGGCAGGAAAATCATGAAGATATGGATCAAGATGGAACAGATCACAATGAGAAGTTATTGAAAAGGCAGAAATAGAAACTTTAAAAATGGAAATAGATCTACTAAAAAAATTGAATCTAGAATTAGAAGACAAAAATAATCTACTACTATACTAATGACAAAAAGGGAACACAAACAGTTTTGATTGAGGCACCTGCTGAAATATATAAGAGAATTAGGGATAATGGAAACAAATTATATATTGAAAATCAAAAGCGTAGAGTATATGAATATATAGGCATAAAACCATGATATAACTGTGGTATGCTAACACATAAAGGACAAAATTGCAGAAACACAGCCAGGTGTCTGAGGTGTGCTGGAAATCATACAACTAGAGAATGCAAAAGTACAGAGGTTAAGTGCATGAACTGTGAGTATAGCAATAACAGATATAGTACAAATCTTCAAACAGACTATGAAGCAACTGATTATGAGAAGTGTAAGATATTCAAAAGGTGAATTGATAAGTATATTGACAATACCGACTACAGAGTGAGACCTGATGTGATGACTGCCATAGGTAAGGCACTGAATAACTTGAATAATAGACCATCAACTCATAACCGACATGATTAATAATATTGTAGACGAAATTCAAA